TGATTTAACACTGAACGATATAACAAAGACCAAATTATAACTGGGGTGTTCCCTTTTTTCCTTGTATGAAGACATAAACTGAACTAACATCCCCATAAGTCTTTTTATCTCTTAACTTTTTAACTATTAGTGTAATCCAGATTTACCAGCCACACATTTCAACTTAAACACAGATGTTAACCTTTTACACTCGCACTTAATTTAGAGATCAGTGTAATCAGTTTAAAGGAATCAAGCTAAACCAACTTAGTAATAAAATATTCAAAGAAAATCGTCTTGTATTTTTGTACAAAATGGTTACAGTTTCTTCACGTTGTCTCCACAGAGCTGATCAGGAGAGTTCAGATGTTTCAAGTCTTCAGCATCAAACTGATCTGGACTCAGTATTTAAGGTTTGTACATGTACACCAAACTCTGTTTGTAATTATTTTAATGTTGCACTTTTTAGAGTATCAACGATATTAACGTGTCTGACAGGAAAAGGAATCCAATACTCGTCATATAATAATGGCAAAATTCAACTCAATTCTTGTTAAATCAAAGTTTCAAAGTGCTGAACAATAAGAAAACTTACAATGGAAATTTAAAATGCAAAAGAATGAGCGAGAAAGAAAACCACACACATTATTAAATCCTGAAAAGGATTTGATAAAACCATTAGGAGCTAAATATTCATTTTGGAACAGCTGATTAAAATATTGTGATGAGCTCAGATCAAGCAGAATAAAGACAGAGTAGAGCCCAGAGCCAGGAGAGAGCAACAGATCACTGAGACCTTGATCAAAGCAATCTCAGGATTATGATGCGAACAGAAGGCAGATTGAAATTTTAAAAAAATCTGATTGTTTCTAATATCATGAACTGAGTGGCAACAGATTGATAAAATTTATACTGTAGAGATAAAATTGGGAGATCAAAACAGGCTTTCATGAACTCCTGTGTATAGAGTCATACACTCGTTTGGCTCTCGGCGAAGGCAGTCGCACTTTTTCTCCTCTCCTCCTTCCCCTTATCTTCCCTGCTTAGCCTCTTGTGTCCTTGTCTTGTTTCGTGTGTATTACTTTCCCTGGAACACTCTCTCACAGTCTGTTCTCTCCTGATAACGACTGTATGTTGATTGTTCTTCCCACTCTATGCAAGGCCACCTGGGTTGGCTGGAAGACTGTTTACTTAGCCTGGTAGGGTGAAGGACACTGTCTCAGCTGAACTATGGACACGCACACACATACACTTACACTGATAAGCACTCACACATTCCCCCCTCCCCTTCCAATGCCTTCGATGCTTGTTGCCTCCTGGGAACACAGGGCGGGTCTGGGCCTGCGCTGGAGAGTCAGCGCAGTGGCAGGATGGCTGCTGTGTTGCCTGGGATTACTCCTCATCCCCTACCCAACCCTGTTGCTGGTCACGTGCTCTATAATGTTGTACTGTGGACATTTATGTGCTTTCTGTGCAGAGGAGGTTTTTTTTGTTTCCTGTTCTCATGCTGTCCTCCTATAGCCCAGCATGAGTAGAGGTCTCTTATTTTCCTCCACTGCATGTGGCGAATAAAATTTGAACTTGAACTTGAATGTGAGGCCATTTATGTACACATGTATATAACAATTTATTATCTTTTTTTTATTTTTAGAAATGACAAAGAGTGTTATTCAGAATGTTGTATGGAAAAGTATTTTAAGAAAAATGATGCAGTGATGATGCGTGGGTTCCCTCCAGGTCCAAAGACCGTCCAAAGACATGCAGCTTGTGGGGATAGGTTAATTGGATAATCCAAATTGTCACTAGGTGTGGATGTGCGAGTGAATGTGAGTGCGAATGGTTGTCTGTCCCTGTGTGTTGGCCCTGCGACAGACTGGCGACCTGTCCAGGGTGTACCCCGCCTCTTGCCCTATGACAGCTGGGATAGGCTCCAGCGCCCCCCGCGACCCTGAAAAGGATAAGCAGAAGCGAATGGATGGATGAATGATGCAGTGATGTTATGAAACGATGAAATGTTGAAATTCTATTGTTTTCTCTGATGGGAGTTTGTTTTAAATTGTTACTTGCTTATTTTTTGTTCAATTGAAAAGAGGCACAAAATATATCTGTAAAAAATTATTTTTACTATGAAAATCAGATTTTTCACAAATTAAGATTGTGTCATTTCCAGATGCTGGAAGACAACATTATTACTTTTGTCAAGAACGAGCTAAAGAAGCTGCAGAACGATCTGAATCCACATTATTCAGAGTGTCAGAGGGATGAAGAGGAGGTGCTGGACAGTGAGGAAGAGAAGCAGAGAAGGAGCAGCAGAGAGGCATTTCTGAAACTTGCAGTTAACTTCCTGAGAATAATGAAACAGGAGGAGCTGGCTGACTGTCTGCAGAGCAGTGAGAGGATTTCTCTTCATAAATTCCGTCTTTACAGGAATGAAATTGTCACATTTTCTATAATCATAACACTCATGTTTCTGGTGCTTTCCTGTAAAAAATCCTGATCCACTTTGTGAGAATACATTTAAATGTAACCTGAAGAAGAAATTCCAGTGTGTCTTTGAGGGAATTGCTAAACCAGGACCCCAAACCACTCTAAATGAGATCTACACAGAGCTCTACATCACAGAGGGAGGGACCGGAGAGGTCAACACTGAACTTGAGGTCAGACAGATTGAAATGTTTTCCTGGAAACCAAACAGACCAGATACAACAATCAGGTGTGAAGAAATCTTTAAAGCGTCAACTGAAAGAGACAAACCAATCAGAACAGTTCTGACCAAAGGAGTGGCTGGCATCGGGAAAACATTCCTGACACAAAAGTTCACTTTGGACTGGACTGAAGACAAGACCAACCAGGACATCCAGTTCATTTTTCCATTCCCATTCAGAGAGCTGAATTTACTGAGGGATAAAAAGTTCAGCTTAGTGGGGCTTATTCATCACTTCTTCACTGAAATCAAAGAAGCAGGAATCTGTAACTTTAAAAAGTTCAAAGTTGTGTTCATCTTTGATGGCCTGGATGAGTGTCGACTTCCTCTGAACTTCCACATCACTGAGATCCTCACTGATGTTACAGAGTCCACATCAGTGGATGTGCTGCTGACAAACCTCATCAGGGGAAAGTTGCTTCCTTCTGCTCACATCTGGATAACCACACGACCTGCAGCAGCCAATCAGATCCCTGCTGAATATATAGAGATGGTTACAGAGATCAGAGGGTTCACTGACCCAAAGAAGGAAGAGTACTTCAGGAAGAGACTTACAGACAAGGAAGAGGCCAACACCATAATCTCTCACATCAAGACATCACGAAGCCTCCACATCATGTGTCACATCCCAATCTTCTGCTGGATAACTGCTGCAGTTCTAGAGAGCGTGTTAAAAACCAAACAGGCTGGAGGAAAGCTGCCCAAGACACTGACTGAGATGTACATTCACTTCCTGGTGGTTCAGACCAAAGTGAAGAACATCAAGTATGATGGAGGAGCTGAGACAGATCCTCTCTGGAGTCCAGAGAACAGGAAGATGATTGAAGCACTGGGGAAACTGGCGTTTGAGCAGCTGCAGAAAGGAAACCTGATCTTCTATGAATCAGACCTGACAGAATGTGGCATTAATGTCAGAGAGGCCTCAGAGTGCTCAGGAGTGTTCACACACGTCTTTAAAGAAGAGAGAGGGCTGTACCAAGAGAAGGTTTGCTGTTTTGTCCATCTGAGTGTTCAGGAGTTTTTTGCAGCTCTTCATGTCCATCTGACATTCACCAGCTCTAGTGTCAACCTGCTGGAAAAGGAACAAATGGCCTCAGTGCATACTGGAGAGTCTTTAGTACAAAATTTCTACCAGAGTGCTGTGGACAAGTCCTTGAAGAGTCCAAATGGACATCTGGACTTGTTTCTTCGCTTCTTCCTGGGTCTTTCAATACCAGCCAATTGGGATCACCTACAAGGCCTGCAGGCCATCAGCTCACAGATAAATCAGGAAACAGTTAAATACATTAAAGAAAAAATGAATGGCACTCTCTCTCCAGAGAAAAGCATTAATCTTCTCCACTGTTTGAATGAATTGAAGGATGACTCTGTAGTGAATAAGGTCCAGCATCACCTGGGTTCAGGACATCTGTCTAAAGTTAATCTCTCTCCTGCTCAGTGGTCAGCTCTGGTCTTCATCCTACTGTCATCAGAAACAGGTGTGGATGTGTTTGACCTGAGGAAATACTCAGCTTCAGAAGAGGCTCTTCTGCAGCTTCTGCCAGTGGTCAAAGCCTGTAAGAAAGCCCAGTAAGTATCCAGTAGGGCTGGGTATCGTCACTGATTTCTAGAATCAATTCGATTCCGATTCACAAGGTCCCGAATCTATTCAATCCACGATTCGATTTGATTCGATTCAATTTGATTAGATTTGAATGGGGAAATTTTACCTCAGACAGTCAGAAATATTATAATTCTGATCAGGTATCAGTACATTTCCATATTTTTATATCTATCTTATATCTATCATCTCTGTAGCAGATGACCTTAAAAATGTTCTGCAGTAGATCAAAAACGAAAGAAAACTATTAATCAACATATGAACATTACCTGATGATGCTGAAGTGAAGTGTGACAGGTTGAAGGACTACTGCATATAAAACTGTTCAGTTAATACTAATTCATATCTGTTGATATAAGGACGAAAATAATGTAAATATGGTAAGAAAATG